CCGTCGAGAAAGAAAGTACTATATATAGTATATATATATATATATATATATATATATAGCAGGAATAGCTCAGCATGAGAGAGGTCTATATACATATATAGCAGGAATAGCTCAACATGAGAAAGGTCTACATATATATAGCAGGAATAGCTCAGCATCAGAGAGGTTAAATATATATAGCAGGAATAGTTCAGCATGAAAGAGAGAGGTCTATATACATATATAGCAGGAACACTAGTTCTATACTATGCATATTAATAAGCTATATCTTGTCTAGCTTCTAAACAAGTGAACAGACAAAATCTAGGATTCTGTGGTATAAGGATATATCAAGTGCTAGGCGCTACGTGAACAAACTTAATACATAAAACAGTTTTCATGAAAGCGTGATTTACACTGCTTATTGAGCACTTTGCAATGCTTTCTCAATTATCATATAAATCGCCTCATTTATTTTCAAAATGTTTTAACTGCCTTGATACCACATAAATTCATGTAAAGTTTTATGTGTAGGTACAGATTGTGTGTGATTAACATGTTGCATATTTATCATTGTTATTACTGCTCAATGTAATTACATTACTGGGAAAATTTAGATGATTCACGGCTCAACTTCACATTCAAGTGTATTACTATTAACTACTAGATTGAGCTAAATATATTTGTTTGTTGTTGTTAAGCACAAAGCTATGGGCTATCTGTGCTGTGCCAACCACGGGTACTGAAACATGGTTTTTAGTATTACAAGCCTTCAGGCATACCGCTGAGCCACTTGGGGGCTGGAGTTAAACAGAACTAGTAAATAAATTTTACTCGTGTTTTACTGGAATGTATGCAATTTATTGTATTACATGTCATTGTCATCACATTTACTTTACGGAAATATTTCACGAAGTGTTGTTTACGTCTAACTGTCTGTCTTAATTGATTTAACACTTTGATGTAGTACTTTATGTAATTTGAAATATGTGTTTATATATTTTTTAATTTAATGCACTTCTCTTCAGAAATACTCAATTGTACGCCATTTTGAAATTATGGTCCTAAAAAAGTGAAGAATGTCGAAAACAGGATAATAAGTTCCTCTCTGTTAATGTAATTGTCCTGTATTTGTTTGCTACTGTTCATGAGTGTCAATATTAAAGTTTTTCAATATAAATGATATAAACAAATGTTTGTGTGATTTTTTTTTCACGTGCCGCACAGTTTTGCAGTACGATCGTTTGGCATGTAAAGTGGATTGTCATGGTTTATAGACAATTACTTTCAAGCCCTCAAGAGTTTCAATAATTCGAACATTCCGCAGTCTTAAGTGACTTTCTGTAATAGGGCAGCAGCATAGATTTTTCACGGGTGGTTTACAGTGATTCTTTTTTTATGAATTCATAACAGTCAAGAATGAAAGCATGCTCTATCTTTAAACAAATAGAGCGTATTATATGGTTGTCCGTAAACTCGGTGTTTGATTTGTGGAGGAGAAAACCAATTATTGTGTATGCCATTCCATTTACGATGGATAATTACGTTATTATCGATGTTCTCATTAAACAGAACATGTTAACTAGATGTACAACTTATCTAATATCTAAATTTGGTCAAGTTAATTAAGCGAAAATACGGTCATGCGTATTAAGGTAAAAAATTGAAGATTAGAGAGAAATTTTTCTTTCTAAATGCAATTGGTCTGATTTATAATTTCTAGGTTAGGGCGCTCGGCTCGCAATCTGCGGGTCGATGGTTCGAGTCCCCGTCACATCAAACATGCTCGCCCTTGTAGCCGTGAGGGCGTTATTATGTGACGGTCAATCCCACTATTCGTTGGTAAAAGAGTAGCCCCAGAGTTGGCGGTGGGTGGTGATGACTAGCTGCCTTCCCTCTAGTCTTTCACTGCTAAATTAGGGACGGCTAGCGCAGATAGCCCTCGTGTAGCTTTGCGCGAAATACAAAACAAACAAATCTTTTTTTTTGTACAATTATAAAATATTCATCCATACACCTTGAGAGTTTCATTATTATAAACTGAAAAATCATTCCAAGTTCTATTTGCAATATACAGAGTTGGGAAAAGCGGCTATACAGTTGTATCATTTAGAATATAGTTTAATTTATAAATATCACTCTGAAACAAACAATTATTACATTGGTTTTAACTGTTTACATAATATTTTCTTTAATACCAACCGCAATACCAACTGTACCAATGGTGTAGTAACATTTTCACACCCTGTATATGTTTACATTTGTTCAATTTCTCATTCATTGTTTGTGTATGTACATCGGTGGATTTCAACTTTCACCGCTTTGTGCCGAATAAGTTTGAGTCTCACGATGTTTGTGTACACATTGTGTTGAGTTAGCTTGATTCTTACGATGTTTGTGTACACATTGTGTTGAGTTAGCTTGAGTCTTACGATGTTTGACTATAAATTGTGTTGAATTATGGAAATATTTTCATAGCTTGAGATTACGACGTTTGTTTAAACAATGTGTTTAGCCAATTTGAGTTGTACGATGTTTGCTTACTGACGGTGTTGAATTGGTTCGAGTATGATAATGTTTGCCTATACACAAACTAACCCAAACCTTCTATCTGGAATTCTAAAGTGTATATCCTGGATACGTCTGTGTTATAACTATCACAATACAGACAAACTTTTGTGTGTGTACTATAATGTTAGCATATTTGTTATCAGTATTTAACTGACGTTATACTTTCTAGAGCACAATTGTAAAATTACTTTAAATGTTTTGTATATTTGTTAATTTACATCTAAAAAGTGTGAGTTTTGACTCTTTAGGCTAAGTTATGTATGTACTCAAAGTTAAATGTAGAGATAAAAGAAATTAAGTGATAAAAATTATATTATTAATCTTCATTAACTTATCTATAAATAAAGTACCATTTTGTGTTATAGTTTTACAAACTATAAGACAAACGACAAATTACTTCGGTTGTAGACCAGTCTAACCCATATGTTGATAAATAAAGTACCATTTTGTGTTATAGTTTTACGAACTATAAGACAAACGACAAATTACTTCGGTTGTAGACCAGTTTAACCCATATGTTGATAAATAAAGTACCATTTTGTGTTATATTCTTACGAATTGTAAGACAAAAAACAACTTACTTCGGTTGTAGACCAGTTTAACCCATATGTTGATAAATAAAGCACCATTTTGTGTTATAGTCTTACGAACTGTAAGACAAAAGACAAATTACTTCGGTTGTAGACCAGTTTAACCCATATGTTGATAAATAAAGCACCATTTTGTGTTATAGTCTTATGAACTGTAAGACAAAAGACAAATTAATTTGGTTGTAGACCAGTCTAACCCATATGTTGATAAATAAAGCACCATTTTGTGTTATAGTCTTACGAACAGTAAGACAAAAGACAGTTCACTTCGGTTGTAGACCAGTCTATCCAATATATTGATAAATAAAGCACCATTTTGTGTTATAGTCTTACGAACAGTAAGACAAGAGACAGTTCACTTCGGTTGTAGACCAGTCTATCCAATATATTGATAAATAAAGTACCATTTTGTGTTATACTCTTATGAACTGTAAGATAAAAGACAACTTACTTCGGTTATAGATCAGTTATTGATGTTCTTTTAATGACGTCAAACCAGCCATAAAATAAAATTCTACAAAAGAAGCACAAAATGTATACATAAAGAGGAAGAAAGTGAACAGAAATGGTAGCCCAACAGTTGGCGGTGGGTGCTGTTGACTATCTACCTTCTATCTATTCTGTTATACATTTCGTGCTGTGTCATTCTCTGCGGTTTTTTGCCTGGAGCATCGTGTTCAAAACTTGGTGATTATATAGCTACATATTTGATTGTTTATCGACTGATGTAGGAGGGAACGATCACTAGATGGAACTTGTGATCACGGAAGTGATACTCACGTCCATAATGATACTAACTCAGTAATTAGAATAAAACACGAATAGTAAAGACCCGAAAATGTTATGTATACCCTGATTCTTGACCTTGATAAAGCGATAGTTACTTAGACTAGAGACCACGTATTTCTAATGGCGTTACCCACCTCTTGATATTTTACTTTCATAGATCGCTAATCGGTTTCTGTGCGTAACCAGTGTAATGAAATGTTTGTGTTGGGCGATTTTTGGGAGTTCATCCCGTAAAACTAATTTTTTGAAAATATGTTAGAATTATATGTTTTTATATAATCGATAATAATTTTATGTTCTCTGATTCTGAAATTCTTTGTCTACAACCTCGTATTTTTGTATTTATTTTTTTGCTTTCACAACAGACTTCTTCAACAACAAATGCATCATCACCAACAGCAGCACCTAAGTCGCCACACGACTAGTGGGAACAGTACGGCGACCAGCCAGAGTGGCCCGTCTCCGGTTGGCCAGCGAACCGCCGACTCCACTGAACGGAGGCCAACGACGGAGGAGACAGAAAGTACTAATGGGAGTTGCGGCAGTTGTGGCGGGATCAGTTTTATGCCTGGAAGTCCGACAGTGGTGTCGACTAGTTCAGAGTCCAGTTGTAGTCCTTCACCGGTTCACGCCCATGGACAGTGACCCTGATTGAAATCTGGATTATTTACTAAGTGTCTCACTATAAGTTTATTTATAGATAATACCAGTGTACAGTTCGGAAAGAAAAGTGATAACCTGTTTATTTCGTTGTTGGTCATTCTCTTTGTCAAGCGAGTTAATCGTCTTCAGCCTTTATAAACAGAGGTAACGTTATTTGCATGTGCAGCCTTTGCACAGTTTGTACATATAGTTATATTCTACTCGGCAGAACTCTAGGTGTGGGTAAACTCGGCCGCTACTGGACGTGCACCATCTGTGTACATAGAAGAGGCTTATATGCTTTTATTGCATATTTTTGTTCAGTGAATTTTGTCGTGCTTAGCACACGATAGATATATATAGAAAATAAAGGCACTTAATCCCTGTATCTTGTTTCCAGATTCATATTAACCGGTGGTATTAAGAAATGAATTAATTCTACTAACGTTAAATTGTCGTCTCACCTCTGTGAAATAAAGCTGCAGAACTTCTTAAAGCTAAAGCTAATTTGTTTTTAATTAGCATATAAAACATGACGCTTATAATATGAGATGAATCACATAATTATTTCGATACAAATAAAAAAGAACAGTTAATATTTTGAAATGTTTATCAAGTTTTGTAGGTATTGGGAGACTTTTAGGTATTTGATGTTGTATATATATATGAGTGTTCCACCTTTAGCGTACTGCATAACTGATGTTGTATATATGAGTGTTCCACCTTTAGCGTACTGCATAACTGATGTTGTATATATGAGTGTTCCACCTTCAGCGAACTACATTTACATGAGGCAAAAGCTTGAGTGATTTGATTGAAAAGTGAAGGTCTTATCAGGTATATACACTTCTGGCCCTCACAACAAGCGCGTATGAATAAATACGATGTCATGAGCTATAATTGGCTAGATCACTTCTACATTTTGTCAACAGGAGCCAATCGGCTTTGTCATGGCGAGTTAAAACTAACAAACAGTTTCATGACGAGGTTTAAAAGGATTTTAAATAATGGAAAACAAAAAATAAAGTGTAAGAAAAAGTTCAATATGTCATTTCAACCATACCACCAGAGTTCTCTCCATTATTCATGAAACTACATTTATGCACGTTAAAGTAGAATTACATTGAGTATTATAGGCCATGCACCGAACACTTGAGCTGAGATGTTTCTATCATGAAGCTTTTCGGTATTCATACTTTTCGATTGTAAGTATTTTTTCACTATCGAGATTAATATCTAAAAGCATTTCCTAAAAAAAGATATTCAAAGTTCCGTCTGTGTTTTATTTCAGACAATACAATAATCGAATCAAAAACACCTTAGGTGTGAAAAAAGGTGCGGCCAATAAAAGGATTGAGTGCGCGACTTAAAGGAATGAAATGAAAAATGGCGGCCAAACTGGTAGATATACTTATAGCATCGATAAAGAATTTTACATTCAGTAGTTAGCTAGGCCACGTTTTTTGTTCAACTTGGGGCATGACCATGGGTAAAACAAAATACGCGGCCTAGCTAACATTATCGATCCAATAATTTATGAAGTTTATTTCTAAAGTGTGCAACACATATGTAATATAAAATACTTATACAAAATACCTATTAAAAATGATACACAGGAAAACATATATGTCTGATTTTGTGTGCGTGTGTGTGTGGAAATGGATTATATCTTGGAAAACATAACTTAATCAAATATAAATTAATATGGTTTAAATAAAGCCAGAATGTAGGTATTGCAATTTTAATGTGTACAAGTCCATTAAAATGAAGTCGTTTTCTTAGATTTGTTTACACTTTGTAATAAACTGTATGCATGAAAGCTAAGACAAGATAGGCATGAAAGCTAAGACAGGATAGGCATGAAAGCTAAGACAGGATAGGCATGAAAGCTAAGACAGGATAGGCATGAAAGCTAAGACAGGATAAGCATGAAAGCTAAGTCCGGAAAAGCATGAAAGCTAAGACAGGATAGGCATGAAAGCTAAGAGAGGATAAGCATGAAAGCTAAGTCAGGATAGGCATGAAAGCTAAGACAGAATAGACATGAAAGCTAAGTCAGGATAGGCATGAAAGCTAAGTCAGGATTTACTTCAAGTCACTTTGATACTCTCCTCGAAATTTGTCTGAAACGTCCTTAAAAGTGAGCGAAAAATCAGAGATATTGAGGAATAGCATTGATTGGTTTGCGCAAAGTCCGACAGGCAAAGTTTGAATGAAACGAATGCAACGAATAGAATTTTAAATAAACAAACAAAAATTATTCGAATGCAATCAGTGGATGATACTGGTTTTTAGTCTGCTTTCATGCAGTAAAGACTACTTGCTAGACCGTTTTCTCTCTCTGGCTGAAATGTACCTGCTAGACTTCATTTTTTTCAGGCTAAACTATATCTGCTAGGCCTTCCTCTCTCAGAATATACTACACCTTTCGAATTATCTCTCAAAATAAGATATAACTAAAAGACCTCTCTCAGGTTTAGTTATAGTTGATAAACCTCTCTCATGCTGGGCTATTCCTATTATATATATATATAGACCTCTCTCATGTTGAACTATTTCTGCTATATATATGCAGACTTCTCTCATGTTGAGCTATTTCTGCTATATATATGTAGACCTCTCTCATGCTGAACTATTCCTGCTGTATATGTATATAGACCTCTCTCTCTCATGCTGAGCTATTCCTGCTATATATGTATATAGACCTCTGTCATGCTGACCTGTTTGTTTCTAGAATGAGTACTGCTTTATTTCATTTGTTTCTAGAATGAGTACTGGTTTATTTCGTTTGTTTCTAGAATGAGTACTGGTTTATTTCATTTGTTTCTAGAATGAGTACTGGTTTACTTCATTTGTTTCTAGAATGAGTACTGGTTTATTTCATTTGTTTCTAGAATGAGTACTGATTTACTTCATTTGTTTCTAGAATGAGTACTGGTTTATTTCATTTGTTTCTAGAATGAGTACTGCTTTATTTCATTTGTTTCTAGAATGAGTACTGGTTTATTTCATTTGTTTCTAGAATGAGTACTGGTTTACTTCATTTGTTTCTAGAATGAGTACTAATTTATTTCATTTGTTTCTAGAATGAGTACTGGTTTAGTTCATTTGTTTCTAGAATGAGTACTGGTTTACTTCATTTGTTTCTAGAATGAGTACTGGTTTATTTCATTTGTTTCTAGAATGAGTACTGGTTTAGTTCATTTGTTTCTAGAATGAGTACTGGTTTACTTCATTTGTTTCTAGAATGAGTACTGGTTTATTTCATTTGTTTCTAGAATGAGTA